CTCGAATTCCGCTTTTGCGAAGCGACGCTGGCGATCAGCGTCCGACCCAGGAGCAGCAGCTGCACCAAGACCCGCACCGACCGCCACCGCGGCTCCCGCGCCATCAGCAGCATGCGGGCCGACCACGTGCGAACCCGCGCCCCCACCTTGGTTGTTCAGCAACTGCTGCAGGGATTGCTCCAAAGCCGATACTTTCGCAACGAGATTCTCGTTATCTTGCTGCAACATCACAAGCTGCAACGCACGCGGCGCCCCCGACGCCGCACCGGCACCCAGGTTGTTCCCCCCGGCCATCGTAGACGACCCACCGAGGCCCTCCACGGATAAACCAGCCATGCCGTCGGCCAGCCGTGCCTCGTCCCCGCCGACCGCCGACCCCGCCGCGGCTGCGGCCCCAGCTGCCGCTTCTTGCTGCTGACGTTGAAGTTGCTGCTGCTGCCGCTGCTGTTGCGGCTGCAGCTGCGGCGGCTGCTGTTGCTGCGGCGGCGGGTTCTGCTGGTCCTGGGCTGCCAATGCCATTGCGGCAGCCGCGCCCGCCACAGTGGCGGAGGGAGGGACACCGCCACCACCGCTGCTGCCGCCGCCGTCGGTGATCGAGGCATCCACCGACGTACGGATACCGTCGGCAGGCCCTTTTCCGAGATTTGGATGCGAATCCATGTCGCCCCGAAAACAGGGGAAACGTAGACGCGAAACTTCTCCCGTCCAATACGTCACGCCACGAAACGTCACGTGCCAAAAAGAAACGTCACAGCAGAAAACAACCCTTGGCCACCACACGCACACGTGCTCTCGCTCGCCCCCGGTAAACACGGCGAAGCGAGTACAGACTGAAAACAGAACACCAACACGCTCGTCCGCTTCCTGCTTTCTGATTGGCCAAGGTTTATTTCTGCCGCTTCTCACAAAACGCAGATTTCCTTTACTTCGTCAGACAATCTTTCGCTTTACAGCCGAATTTTTATTGAGCCAGCGATGTCCCGAGGTTTTTTGAAAAAAAAAAAAATCAAAAAGTTGTCAATCTCGAACGCGCGAGAAAACGCGATAATGGGTGGCACCTGTAGTTCGGTTACACTCTCAGTCCTTCGAGCCGATGAATGGGAGATTAGCATCGACGTTTTCGACTCTTTCAGACGAGGGGCCACCCTTGCAAAAGATCGAGACCAAATTAACTCCACCACAACTTGCACGCCCTGAACCACCCTTTGAAGTCGAACGGAACTGTTTAAACTATATCGGGTGCCACCCTTCAAAAAGTCTCAAGGGTGGCACCATGGCAACGTGGCTTCAGCATTCGAGCGGAGCCTGCACTCAACGTACGCGTCGAAGCGTAGACGAGAGTCGAACAAGTTATCGACTGGACTGCCACCACCACCACCACGAACAACAACACGCGAGGTGCGTAGCTTACTCAACTTTGCTCTTCTTTCCTCCCTGCCCTTCTGCCTGCTTTGCTGCCTTGCCCTGCTGCCTTGCTGCCTTGCTGTCCTGCCGTGCTTGCCTACCGTGCTTGCCTTGCTGTCGTGCTTGTGTCGACACGAAACTAGAGGCTCCGCAGATTGTACTCTGGAACCCACTGTGTAGTTCCTCCGCACATCCACATCTACACCTGCTGGCGTGATAGGGACGGAGAGAAGGATTCTCGCTGGTGGCGCCAGTAGCAAGTTCGACCCAGGGGTTGAACCATTTTTTTTCCCACGACAGTTGACCTTGCTTGTGGGACCAACCGCGGGTTCGCCCCAGGGGTTGAACCATTTTTTTTTCCAACGACAGTTGACCTCGCTGGTGGCGCCAATAGCAGGTTCGACCCAGGGGTTGAATCATTTTTTTTTTGCCTCGACAGTTGACCTCGCTGATAGGACGGACCGGGGGTTCGACCAAGGGGTTGAATCATTTTTTTTTGCCTCGACAGTTGACCTTGCTGGGGGCGCCAATCGCGGGTTCGCCCCTAATTACTTTTTTTCTCTAGACAGTTGACATCGCTGGTGGCTCCAACCACGGGTTCGCCCCGGGGATTGAACCATATTTTTTTTGCCACGACAGTTGACCTCGCTGGTGGCGCCAATAGGAGGTTCAACCCAGGGGTTGAACCATTTTGAACGACAGTTGACCTCGCTGGTGGGACCGACGCGAGGGGTTGAATCATTTTTTTCCAACCACAGTTGACCTTGCTTGTGGGACCAACCGCGGGTTCGCCCAGGGCTTGAACCATTTTTTTCCAACGACAGTTGACCTCGCTGGTGGGACCGACGCGAGGGGTTGAATCATTTTTTTCCAACCACAGTTGACCTTGCTTGTGGGACCAACCGCGGGTTCGCCCAGGGCTTGAACCATTTTTTTCCAACGACAGTTGACCTCGCTGGTGGCGCCAATAGCAGGTTCGACCCAGGGGTTGAACCATTTTGAACGACAGTTGACCTCGCTGGTGGGACCGACCGGGGGTTCGCCCAAGGGGTTGAATCAAGCAAGCATTGACCTTTTTTTCCAACGACAGTTGACCTCGCTGGTGGGACCAACAACGGGTTTGCCCCAGGGATTGAACCATTTTTTTTTTTGCCACGACAGTTGACCTTGCTGGGGGCGCCAATCGTGAGTTCGCCCCAAGAATTGAACCATGGGACCAACCGCGTTCATAGCTGATTGCGCCCTTGTCAACAAGCGTTCTGTAGGTGGTACCGAAAATGGGTCCCCGCTGTCATGTGCGAAACGAGGCACTCTGTCACGGGGGAGCGAATGGAGGCATTGTACGCTCCAACAAGCCACTTTATACGGGGGAAAGATGATGATGTACTGTTTTCTGCCGTACACAAACGAGGGTCGACCCTGGTCACATCAGGGCATCGCGCCAGAGAGGGGTCATTTTCGATCGCCTGTCTGAAGGTAGCCTTGACAGCTTCTACACTCACTCGTGCAAGCGGTCCTTGTTCTACACTAATGTAGCTGCTTAGCTCCGCCGTTATGCCATCGGCATCCTCGGTCACCGCTGGTGGCATTTCGTTGGCAGGTGCTGAGAGATCAGTTGCATCCCGTTTCAACACGTTGCAACGCGTTGCAACATGCGGGCTAAATTGGACCAATCACAAAGTAGGCCTGTCCTCCATCGGCCGTTTTATTTTCGATTTAGATACACAAACTTTATTTCTATACTAATTTCAAGTAATTCCACCTTCTTATTCTCCGTCATACAAGCAAAACGGCCGATGGAGGACAGGCAGGCCTATGTGACACAAAGAGTGTTGCAACGCGTTGCAACATGCGGACTAAATTGGACCAATCACAAAGAGCGTGCCCCCCGGGGGCGAAAAGCAGTGCAGAGAGCAGACCACAGCACAAAACGTTGAGTCCCAAGGCACGCCACGGTATTTGCCCCTGTGTTGTTGCTGCCCCTTCTGCTGCTGCTGTGCTGCTGCTGTGCCGCTGCCGTGCTCTACTGCTGTGCTGCTTCTCCCTGAAAATTTCCCGCGAAACGGAGAAAAAACCTCGCCGCTTTCTTGTCGCACACGCATAACCACAGCAGACAACGTTTTTCCTCTTGTTCGCCACCTCTGGTTGCACCTACACCCTCTCATCGAGCCTCACAGAGAGCTTCTTCCTGACAATACACTAGACTAGCTGTGTCAGAAGGGAAGAATCGCCCCCTGGCATGCTCTATTGGAGATGCTGTGATGAATCCTGGCAGACGACGGCCTGCTGCTTTCCCCCCCGTTCTCTTTCGGGCACAAATCAACTCGTCCTGCCACAACAGAACGCGTCAAAGAAGACCTTATGAAGATGAAGCACCTCTCTAAGATATAGTAGCTGTCGCTAAAACGAGCGACAGCTGATAGATGTAACTGTCGTCAGACGTGTGCGTCCGCGGGAGGTGGAAGAGACCCTTTCTTCTTCTTTTTCTCTTTGCAATTCACGTCATTGGTTACCCGCGACGGCGCTGAAGACGCCCATGTCCGTGTACTTGACCCTCGTACTCTGTGCTAACTCCCCAAGTCTAACCTCTTCCTGCAGCCTAGCCTTCATCGTCGGCGAATTTCCAAGGTTACCAATCCTGTCGAAACTCATGGGCTCTACCATGAGGTCCACAAGTCTCTTCGCCCTACTGAGACAGACGAAAGTAAGCCCCGTGCAGGCCTCCTTGGGCCCCAAGTCAATGACGGCCTTGGCTAAAGTCTGCCCCTGGGACTTGTGCATCGTAATTGCCCAGCAGAGCCTAAGGGGCAGCTGCGTCCTGACCTGCGTCCCCCCGTCCTGCCAGGTGGTGTCGACGGGAGAAATAGGGACACAACGTCTATACCTCTCCTGAGACGACCATTCCCCCCCCGAGTACCCTTCAAACTTGACGACAACGTAAAGGGGGAGCTTCGGCGGGGGCGCATCATCTGCGCACACCAACTCG